AACCACAATGGCTTAACCAGCAAATTTTCGAAAATGGAGGTGAAGCTGAAGCCCCCACAATCAGTGAGGGCAGGCTATTCAGATATCAAGTATTAAGTAAGCAAGATCTAGGTATCGTGGTTTTCTCTGTTGGGATTGTTGACGTGTTTAGCTGACTAGGTTGCAATTAACGATCCATCCACGTTCTGAAATCGCGAAATACGCCAAAATGTCAGCCAGTATTGTGTTGGGTAAACCTTGTTATTAACGACTTCGTGTCTGCTCAAAAAGAAAACACGGACTTCTTGGTATTAATAAAACTGATATTTCCACAACATCGCATATCTTCGTGACTGAGGAGAGCTGTAAAGTTTAATTGAAACGAGGGCCACTCAAAAGAGTCCCATATTCCTAGCTAGAACCGTTAGCGGCGAGTTAATGGTGGATATCTTATGGCTGGAAAAGGTAAATACAGAAGGCTTCCTACCAAATCCATGGTGCGCTTCATGTACTTCAAAAAAGTACGGCTCACTGGGCAGTTCTGGTTTGTAACAGGGAGGATTGGAGATCTCAACGGTGCTATCTCAAGTTACTCTATGATTAATGAGTTTGAAGGCTACGAAGCCGAAAGCGTCTTCAAGTGGTGAATGCGACGGTTATGTCACTTTGGCAGTATTAATTCACAAGCACTTTCACCACTTATACGAAGTAGCATGGGAGCTCTTTGCTTATATGGATTGTTTCCTAAGTGGCGACTAGTTTAAAGGCCGACTATCAAGTGATTGAGGAGTGCATGGGAGTGGTTCGGAGTCGTACTCAAGAATTGACTACCTTTCAACTCCAACACACTATTGAATTTACCCAAGTGTCTTCTTGAACCATGGAGATATCTTTAACAAGGTATCAATTAAATAACCTATGGGAAGACAACATTTACTCCAACTTTACAGAATAATATGAGATTTTCGAGCGAAATTATTGAACACCAAGAAATCATTTGTGGCTGTGTTATGGATGAACTACGGCGGACGCTTCATACTAGAGTCTCGCAAAACTTGATATCCTACACATAACAGGCCATAGGCTCCCGCCGGACGGAATGAGAGTATAACTGGGAGGAAGAAAAGCAAGATTGAAGAAGTTAAGAGGCCTGAATTAGTTCAATAGTTGTCGTAACATCGATATTAAGTTAGCAAGTAGGCGAATATGCTATTGAACTCGTTAAAAGTGCTAAGGCCAAATAAGAAAGACCATGAGCAATGAGATAAACTTATTCCATGAGGGTCAATCATAATTTGGGTATAGGAATACCTGCATTGCTCAAACCAATATTTTAGCTTTCGAAAGCGAAAATTTTACGTTAGATTAAAAGTGGAAGGGATTTAAATGTACAAGCTTTCTACTCGCGTTTAATGATATTTTAAAGCAAGAAGGCAGAATGCAAATATTTATGTAGAGTTAAATCATTTGACCTATAAAATCACAAAGGTTCCAAAAATAAACAAGATCCTATCTTTTATGGATTTTCTCCTAAAGGGCTAAACGTGCAGGATCTGTTGTCAGTGTCGATATCTGTTAGATACTAAGTGTTATGGAAGCACTCGGATACTGCAATGCACTCATCAATTCTCAAGAGAAAAGGAAACGCTGGCGAGAAAAGGCTAATAAATTATAGCGACAATGACTAAACTGTCTGGAAGGCGCCCTAGTGATGTTACCTTATAAGAAAGATTTTGATCCGAAGCAGATCTCAATGATAGGAAGTTCGAGCCATTTTTATGAGTACTGTAAAACCCATGAAAGTCTTCGAAGGTCAGAAAAACGTCTGAAATCTTCGAAATTCTTATAACGAATTAAAATTAGTCGCCGTGAAGTTTTATTTTTGTTGCGGCGCCAAAAAAAACGTTCCACAAACAATGGACTATCAGCTTAGTTGCAAGTAGAAAAGGAGCGCCAAAGAATGGCTGCATTTTTCCAGTAGTTCGTCGCCTAAGTGAATCATGCTGCATTTCCACAAGTGTTTCGGAGTTTGGTTCCCGAAGACTCGAGATGACAAGGAATTTATATGTCGACATCGCAGCCAGACAGCAATCTTCCCCGTTAGCTGGCCAAGGTAGGACAGAAATTTTTTACTTGTCGGTTGTCCTTTACATTTTAACCTGCACACTTTAGTACTATTGTGTACTATTAATCGTTCAGTGCCGTGTACGACGCAGTGGTAAGAGCTGCCAATGATACACACTCGATTGGTCACTGGTTCAAACCCGCACAAAGGGCTATCTTCGTTTTTCATCTTTTAGATGTCCGTACTTTGGTACTAGACTGTGAGGATCAACCCACTGATTTGATACATTGATAAACCAGCGCAAGTCATTCCAAAGGCCAAATATGCATTCAATCAGCCCTAACGGTGCATGATAAAGTTAAAAGCATGGCACGTCTCTCAGGAATTCATCAACGCTGAGCGCTTTATCCTTTTATCCTTTCTCTTTACTCCTTTCTGAAATTCTGTAAAGAACTGTTGAATTTGTTTTAGGTGACCCTGTCGAATGATGAACCAACCAACTACTGTTCATCCTAGTTCGACACCGATGAACACCTCGTTGCCACGGTGAACTCCAGCTAAACCATTGGAAGTGTTTTTTGCAATTTGGACGACCAGAAGAAAACGAGTGTGTAGCGTTTCCGTTTCCCTTTATCTCTACTAATTTCATGTCCTATTGATGACTTGTAACTCTGTGCTGATAGCCTCGTTACTACCAGAACAAATCACTAACGACTATTTTTTTTTGGAATTTAAAGAAAACAAAAATAACACAGAATCGAGTCTTAAGAGTATTACTAGCACATCCTACGCTTACATGGAAACAAACTAGTCGGAAAGGTATTAAAAAGTTACCGGATATTGTTAAGGTCTAATGGTACTGTTAAATTGCTAGCAATGAAAAACTTCATTCATTTCTATAGCAAGTCTGAAGAAATTTGCAGGATCACTTTAGTTTTAAAGTTAAGAAATTCGGAAAAACTTTTAAAAATCCTGCCATGATGGCAAATGAGAAGACATGAGGATGATCACCTCGTCCACAGTGATTACGTAAAAGGGAAATAATCATGCAGAGCACTCTCGAACACATGGCACTGCCTCTAAGAGAATGGAACACTAAAGAGATCATAAATAGTGAACTAAGAATTGTCGAACGAAGAAGTATATAGAAAACAAACATGTAGCGAGGCGGAGAGGAAATGGACGCTGTCCAAGCACAACATCGAGAAGAGAAATCGATCTAAGACACTGTCCTTGTGTTCGCTTCCGAGATTTGTCGTTAGCTATTCGAAAAGCGTAGCGCATTGGTTAGAGGTATCATGGAGTACGCATGTGGTCATTGGTTCGATCCTTCGTCCTGGCTCACTAAGCCTTCCATCGCTCAGATTGATAACAGAAATTTCTGTGAGGGAAAAAAAATACTTAAGTGATAGATCAGTAGGCATCTGAAGGATATTTTATTGAAAACAAATGTGCATTCAATCACTATATGGCGAGTAGGAGAAGATCGAATAAGTAACGGGGAGGTTTTTATCACTCAAGAAATAAAGTCTATCTAGGTGCATGCTTTTCCCGCCAATGCTACATTAACTCGTTCCTTAGAGGGCGTTCTGGTGATAAACACCTTGTGCTCTATCACGGTGAAGATGATAACACTTTCATCAAGGGGCCAAAATAATAGTTAATTCGTAATGAAATTGTAAGGTCCTCAGTGTTTCTCGAACAAATGGGCCGCAGTGAGCAGCTGTGGCGCAACGGGGATGAATGGCTGAGGCTTACTGGTGCTCACTCAAGCTACTCGATAAATGGTGGGATTATAAATGATACAAATGAAACATTTATTTGAGACCAACGCAGCAAATCTTGTTGTTGCTAATGACAGCCTATTTATAGAAAATAAATTAAATATGCGTGTGAAGAATGAATGGATTATTTTTGACTACACACTACAAACGAGAGTAATTGGATCCATTTTACCCATGCTAATGCCACAGTACCGAAAAACAAAAACCAGCCAGGTCCTTTAAATATCTCACATAATGAGAACAAACATTATTTCCGAGGATGAGCAACGGCTTTCAGTTTTCAGAACCGATGATGATCTCATTCATGGCTACGCTAAAAATATTTAAAATTGAAGTACAGTTAGTAACTAGATGCTCTATTACAAGATAAAGGATAAAAGGACAAAGCTCTTGCGTTGATCAATGCCTTTAGGGATGCGCCATGAATTCGACTTCATTAAGCATCGTTCGGAGGTGATTGAATGCATATCTGGCCTTTACAATGACTCACGTGGCCTACCGATGTATCGAGCCAGTGCTGCCATCCTCCCAGACAAGTCTAGTGGCAATTTACCGACCCCGGAGGGATGGAACGCTTGACGGGCCATGGACGCGGGAATTGATTCCGCGTGTGTTGCAGGGTGTTTCCGACCACTGCGCTACACTCGACCTATTACAAGAGTTGGAGTAAAATTTCGTTTGAGAATACGGGTTCAGAATCTTTTTGCAAAGTCTAATATATTAGCAGTCCGAAATAACGTTTTTAAAATTTTATGAAGAGTTCCTGCCTCACATATAAGTAAAAAGAGTTTTCGATCGCGACCTCACGATAAAATTTCTAGAGCAACGATAAAAGCGAAATTTCAGGGAGTAACACTCCAGGGAATAAGTGTGGAGTTTACTTCTGAGTATCTGAAACGAATGACACGAAGGGTGACAATCAAAAAGTATCCCAAAATTTTCTTCCTATTTTTTCTCTTAGTCGTGTTACACCTGATTTAGCATAAGGATCTTCAGCGAACCGCCACTATTGTAAACTATTCTATAAAAATCTCAAATATCACTTCAAGTCACAGAAATAAACTAGTTATTTAACCAACAAATAATTCCTAAACAAAACGGGGAAATTGCTGTCTTATAATTCAACTCAGTTAAGGAAATGTTCCTGAAAACAATATTGTTATGCTGATGAGATGACAGGCATCTGTCGCATTCCAGTAGAGGGTACCCAGAGTGGAGGACGGAAGAACGGGCGGACGAACACTACGATTGAGGCAATGAGTGATGCCGCGCGGACATCGCGCGGACGTCGCGATCAGCAAGGGGGAAGCGCGTGGCATGATGGCGACGACCGTGTCGAATTCTGGAAGCGAAGCGGAGTGACGGAGAAGACGAGACGAGACATTAAGCCGGATCGATGTCGCCCTTAATGATTTCCCGGCTGATTGCTATTCTCCATGCTGGATGGGCTTGTCGGCCGACGACCCGCTGCTGGCTTGGCCGTAATTGGGTGAGTTTCCGCGCCATATGTCGCTTGTTTCCCGAAATTCCTCTGACTTTCGCAATATGCAAAACTTTTCGTTGGGCGAGGTGAACTTGCCCACTAAGTAATTAGCACATAACGTCACGCTCTGAGTATACTGCATCTGATACAAGAATAAGCCCTAAAGTGTAAATACAGAGCTCGTATCAAGCTTTAATAAAACAATAAACCGTTCAGGGTTAACCAATCCCTAGTAGGTGCGTCATTCATTGTGTTCATCAAACATCGTGGAGGTAGAATTCTCGTAAGTAAATATGCGTGACTGTTCAGTTTTCAACTACTCGGCATAGTCTAGATGACCATGCTCATGTCTTCTCATGAGTAGTCATAACGGGATATTCAAAAAGCTTAATGAACTTCTTTATTGGAATATCAAAGCAATCTGGTAAATGTCTTCATTTTTTTAATCAAAAACGCATTAACGTTTTCATCAGTGGCAATTTATCATACCATTAGACCTTAACAGTTCTAACAGTTGCCGGAGACTTCCAGTACCTTGTCGATCAACTGAGCTTTCTAATTCTTTGTTTCTGCTATGTATATGTAGAATGTGCGAGTTATACTCTTCATTATTGAATCTACGTTATTTTTCTTCTATTGATATCCTAATAGATATAATTGTTTGTAATTTATTCTTGGCGAGACTAGCGGCACAGAGTTATCAATAACAAATAGCGCGGAGAATTAGTAGACATAAAAGTAAGGGGAAAAACTATGCACTCGTTTTCTTCAAATCGTCCTAATCAGAAAAACCACTTTCAATGACTTAGCTGGAGGTTACCGTGGCAACGGCGTTTTCATGGGTGTCGAACTACGATGAACGGAAGGTGGTTCATCAGTAGGCAGGGTCATCTAAACCGAGGAATTCAACAGCTCCTTATGGAATTTCAATAAGGAGTAAAGAGAAAAGATAGAAGGATGAAGCGCTCGGCATTCTAGTAGATAAAGTTGTCAGTAATTCATGAAGGATGCGCCATGCACACTATTTCTTCATGATTAGAGGTAAATTAATGCATATCTGGCCTGTAAATTGACTTATTGTGGCTTATAAATGAATTCACAGCTGGTGTAACCCCAAACAGGGCTGATAGCAAATACTTGACCCTGCAGGGACAGAAAGCTTTGGGTGTATGACTGAGCCAACGGCCGATTCCAGAAGCCAGAATGGAGCAATCTGTGCTAAACACAAGAACTTCAGACTCATACCTGTTTCAGAAGTATTATTATTTCAAGCAAATTCGGTTAATTTTCACAGTTTTGTCTTACTTCCATCCATTCCATCAAATTGTATGCGTCGTCTATTCAAAAATATTGAACTTTTCTAAGCCACACTGAAAAGAATAATCAAGCATAAATGAGTTAACGCAGAAGTGTCGACGCCAGGGTTGAAAAATTGCGTGTATCAATGCCACAGTAGCCGTCTTACTTAAAGCCTTCCAACGGGTTTTCTACACCAATGACCTAAAAGATGTTTACATCTCAGTGTCTAACTAAATATCAAAAATGTAATATTCTATGGGAATAAAAGGATAAAAGGATAAATCGTTGAAGGTGATTGAATGCATATCTGGCCTTTAAAATGACTCGCGGTGGCCTGCCAATGTACCGAGTCAGTGCTGCTATCCTCGTAGACAAGTCTGGTACCAATTTAGCCGGCCCCGCAGGGATGGAAGGTTTGTTGAGCCATGGTCGCCAGATTCCACGTGTGTGTCGCAGTGGCGCCTCCAACCACTGCGCCACACACGACCTATTCTTTGGGAATAGTAGAGCAAAACATATGTGTGTTGGGATATTCATAAGGTGTTTGTGAGAAGTGTTGGCAGGTTGGTCGGCACAGAGTTGGTACAAATGATGGCCGGTTTTTGAAATGCTAGCGCCATGTTTAGTGAACAAAAGTTTTCACACTTCCGAAACATTCGCTTTCATCACGAACGGCTCTGAGTCATACAAACATGTAGATGTTTCGGTGAAAAATATAAGACCTAATTTTCTATTCCGTAGTTAATAGCTGTCAAATCTCCACCGTTCGCCCACACCCATTCAACAAAAGCACTATTCCAAACTCCTCCAAGGAATATTCTCTATCTCCATTTCAAAGTTGGAGTGCGAATAGCGCAGTGAATGGAATATCACGCGCAGCCAGGGAAACTACTCCTTCCTTCTCTTTGGAGCTTGCGAATTGAAACCTTATTTGTCTAGGAGGATATGAAAGCTGATGCGATACATAGGCAGACTCCACGAGTCGTTGTTTAAGCCAAACGTGTTTTCAATTACGCTTACCCTGCTCTATGAAGTCGGATGAAAGGCAAATTTCTCTACGCTGAGTGCTACCACGTTTTCTCATTTCTAGTTTATTATGTGTGCTTTTTACATGAGCTATAAACTGCCTAGTAACAACCATTTCGTATTTGAGTTCAGTTGGCTGCATTGCCTTTGTATAGCAACACTAGAACATCATCGAAGCACATAGGGTATGAAAGGCTCACACTGATACCTATTTTCAAAGAGTAAGTGTTCAGATGTTGTCATCATCTTAGGGAATCATTTGAGCTCCTCTGCTCGATATTTTCTGCTCGCATCTCTTTTGACTAGTGAGAGGTTGACTAAAACTCTGCTAGAGATGCTCATCGTCTTACATCATTGAAATAATAAAATTGATTTCTGTTGCTCATTGATAAAATCAGCGTGAAGAAAACGACACCGTCAACACTTTAGCCATAATAAATCCTTTTAGTAGAGCGTGTGTAGCACAGTGGTCGGAGGCGCCCTGCAACACACGCGTGGAATCGATCTCCGCGACCATGGCCCACCAAACCTTCCATCCTTCCGGGGTCGGCAAATTGGTACCAGACTTGTCTGGGAGGATAGCAGCATTGGCTCGATACATCGGTAGGCCACCGCGATTCATTGTAAAGTCCAGATATGCATTCAATCGCCTCCAAATGATACTTAATGAAGTCGAGTGCATGGCGCATCCCTGAGGGATTGATCAACGCCGAGAGCTTTTTCAGCACGCTGTTAAGTGAAAATATTACTTCTTTAGAAACAATAGCATTCCACCGACGGGATACTAAAACAAAGTGGCTTTCCACCACTTGCAAACGAAAACACTTTTTATAGAATGAGAGGTGTAGTCCACTCTGGTAAAAAAATAAGTCGTGATACGGTATCAAGTCACGACTAATTAGATTCAACATTCGCCCTTTCGGTCGCTTTTTCGGTCTTTTCGGTTTTTTTCAGTCATTTCCCGATTTGATTCCAAACGTCTCCAGAAAAGGTTTTGCGAGAGAATGCCTTTGGTCGCTGCATTTGCATCGTATCTTTCAACAAAAAAACTGTATTTATTTTTAGACCTCCAATCGCAGCGGCGATGAAGACTAAGAGGATTTCTCCAATAGAAATTAAACCTGTGACGCAGCTGGCTTGTTGCGTTGTCATCGTTTCTGGGAATTGCTCACTCCACTGAGCAATTTAGCAGCTGCGGAAATGCGGCTATATAGGGCAGAACTATTATTATAGATATTTAATATTCCCGAAAGGAGCTAAACTTGCTCAATCCGACTCTTCCAGAGAGAATTCGACATTGAGTAGAGAAAATCCTTAGTGAAAAATATGAATTGAAAATGAAATGAAATAGAAGAAAATTGAAAACAAAAACAACAAAAAAATAAAATAAATAAAAGTGAAAATAAAAATGGAAAATATGAATCTTTGTTCATTCTTACATTTTAATGTAAGAAAAGACACAGAGGAGCAACTAGAAATCGCCAACTCCAAACGCATCCCCGATAAATGCCTTAGTTGTGAAGATGTGTTCATTTTGTTTATTGGAGCTCGTATATCTGGCAGTAAAGCATGGGTTTCGGTATTGTTTGCACGCGGGGATGTTGGTTGCACCAAGGTCATCATAGGATTTATACCATTGTGGTTTGATAGCCTTCCGCTCTCAATGTATTTGAAGAGAAGTATTGACTCATATTCTAACAACCCAACCAGGTTTTGAAAAAATCTGTTAAAAACGCCACTTTTTGGCATACTCTTTTTGCCTTTGCGTACAGGTGATTGTATAGTCTCAAAATTTACACCATAATTAGCCTTGTTAAGCGAAGAAATGGCGCAATTTGTGGCCCCATTCAGGCACGGTCATAAAACCGATGAGAAACAACTTAGTGCTCTCAATATGCAGATGATGTAAAAAACGATTCCAGTCACAGTATCTCGGCTCTTTTTCTGAACGAATACTTCAACGCCAAGATTTCGTAGCACTTGTCAGATCGAAAGTTCAACGTCGTCCCTGTAACCTCACGGCTGCCTAAAACCACATGAATCTGCAGCATCTGTACAAGAGACTTCTATTCACACATTAGTCGATGCAAAAATTGTTTTGACGCATGCTTTAAAGCTAATGTTTTGAAAGACACTAAATCCGCCAATATGGAATAAATGCTGTCCGATTTTCGGAGTGCGGTCAGCAGTAAAAAAGCTCCCTCGAAGATACACATTATTCATTGGTATAATTCAAACGCTAGTTTCTTCAAAAATGATAAGTACTGTGATCTATTCCCACAAAAGAAAAGCAGACACCTCTTCGACTGTGAAAGTCTTTGGAACTTCAATCAATTCAACACCGAGGTGGGTAAGATAAGGGAAAGCAAATAAGCAAGACAGAACCCTTAATGGGCTTTTCCTTAAAGCTATAATGGTAGGCCAAAGCCAAAGTCCACTTTCTGGTGTCCTTGGGCTATTACTCCGTGCCTGGAAATAGGTCGATCCTTCAATTTTGAAAAAAAACACATCATGGTCTGCAGTATATTTTTTTCATTGCAATAGAAGCCTTTGAAATTCACAGAGCAATTTTAATCTTCTGCAGCCCACAAAGCTCAGTTC